GTGTGTGTGTGTGTGTGTGTGTGTGTGTGTGTGTGTGTGTGTGTGTGTGTGTGTGTGTTTATCTCACACTCCCCCTCCCTTGTGTTTCCTTTCCTTCTTCTCCTGGGTTGAAGTAGCAGGGATAACGGGAGGCTGATTATCACAATGAAATTATCCTGATTTTCTGCTCCACTTGGAGCGGTGGGGCGGGCAGCTGCTGCCTCCGAGATCGACCCATCCGCCTCGCCTCTAATCATTCAGAAACATAAATTCTCATGGGCTTGAAACCCGCTGGTCTCTTCCCAGATGACTGTGGGCAGCTGTGCAACGTGCTTGCATATGTATGTGTTAGTTGATGTGTGTGAGAGTGAGAAAGTGAGATAGTGAAAATGCAAAGTGAGGAGAGAGCACATTGTCAGCATCTGTGCGTTTACAAAAATGTTGGCGCTTGCTTGTCTCGGCTCATGTGTGTGTGTGTTCTCTTCTTGACTGTGTTGGTGTTGTTTTTGTTTTCTCAGCCGTTGTTGAGCCCATAATTAGAGTCTGCATAATTTCACTGGGTGCAGAAATATTGAATTAATAAGAGGAAAAAGCCTCGACTACCAAGGCCTGGGGGTTTAATCTTAGTGTGTTTGTTGTTTTAAGGGTTTTAAAAAATGGTCATAAAGGAAGGAGGGGGATACAGCAAAGGAAATCCAATCTCACACAGACTTCAAAGGGAAACACAAAGAGTAGTCTGATAGCATCACCCCACCCCATATGCTATCACCAGCACTTCAAATGAAAAATCAGATAACCTGATGGCCTCATAGCAGCTTTGAGATGATACAAACCTTTTTCCAAGTCACTCCAACTTTAAAATGGTCTGATGAAAAAAAATCCAAAACCCATCCATTTGATATTTTAATCTTCCGAAGTACAAAAGAACTGCAGGGGAAACTAGCTGCAAAGATTCAGGCCAGATCTGAGGAGCAAAAATCTTTCAAATTTATCTCAAACTTACAACAGAGGAATAAAAAGGGAAAGGGGAGCATGTGAGAAAGGGAGGGAGTGACAGATTAAAACAAATTGGCCATAATACCCTTTGGGGCTCAAATATCAGTTCAAGAGCCAATGCTGGAGTGGAAAAAGTTAGCAGCAGAGTGAGCTTTCTCACTCCACTGACACACAGTCACAACATGACTATTGACCTTGAACATGATACTTCAGTCTAAGAGGCTCACACTGATTTTCCTTTTGTTTTCGTCTGACTGACGTGAGAAAAAGAAAAGACGGAGCTGCGTTTGAAACTCTAGCCGCTCAGACAGGGTTACAATTCTGTCTCCTTCTGATAATGTGTAAAGACGGAGGAGCAAAGATCCAGTGCGGCAGAAATGTTCACAGCATTATAGAAATAAACATCTGTGTATGCCTGCCTCACTTTGTTGGAACATGAAAGCAAGTTCCTACAAATAACTCATTCATCTATATGTGACTA